ATGGGTTTTGCTAGATAACAATCCAAAGCAGTGTGGACCGACGCTGCCTTATCTGTATTGTAATTGAAATCAATATTTGAAAATTTAGAAAACACTTTAAATAAATGGTTTTCTATTATTGTTTAACTGCGCGATTAATTGCAATTTTTTTAATTGTGCAATTAATTGCGATTAGTATTTGTAATCGCTTGCCAGCCCAATTGTAAGCTCTTCAGGGCTTGATTGTCTACTACTCTATATCCATGCAGTACCTAGCACTGAAGGCCCATTCTTGATTGGTCCCTAGGCTTTACCATAATACATTTTATTATTAATAATGCACAATTCAATGCAACATTCAATATTCATTTTGTGTAGGTTAATTACATGGTATTGTTTGTATTTGCCATATATGTATGTAACTTTAGCGCCCTCATGGCCAAGATGGAGTCTGCTCTGCTGGCAGCTTGGGCCAAGAAAAGGCCCCTGCAGGAACTCAGCAGGGAAAGTCCCTTCCATCCCAGGGCACCTGTTCCAAACCCCCCACACACTGGAAGACTCCAATGAATACAGGAGAGGGAAATATTTATTTACCGAGGGATGAAAGGCGAAAGACAACAGGGGAAATATAGGGGGAGGCTGCATTCAACACTAGGCCCCACAGGCCCAGTGGTAGCACAGTCTGAAAGGACAGATACCAAGCTATGTGTCTACACACCGAGTTCAGGAGTCCTAGGCAAAGTTCCAGTCCAGTGGTGAGTCTTGGGTGCTCCTGGTCATCTTTGGCACCAGTAAATTTTCGCCAGAAAACTCCTCTGGTGTCCTCTTCTGCCGTTCTCTGCAAAGCCACACAGAGTGACAACCTCCCCACTTAACTAGCTAACAGCCTCCATCCTTATTCCCGATGCGAAGTCACAAATCCCACTACTCACGGCCCCATACAGCTCTGGGCAGCAATGATACTGTGTCCAGCTCCAGTTTGTCCTTCTCGGGCGATTCCTCCCTGGCACAGTTCTCCTCCTGGCTCCTGTCCTAGGGTGTCCCCAATCGGCCGCTCTGTCCCTCCCAGGCTTTGGACAGGTTCTTTGCTGCTTCACACTGTGAGGGCTTGCTTGCTGCAACCCTTCTCTCTGGAGCTCCAGACACACACATCTTGTTGCTCTCCCATCTCTCTCTCCGCCCCCACCCCCACCACCCCGCACTCCCTCCTCCTGGAACAATCAGCCCCCCTCAGGAAAAAGATTTCAAGGGAACATTACCTCTAAATCCCAAATGTAAAATTGGAAATTTGCAATTTTATACATCATTGAAAATTCACTTTTGAGCTTTGCTACTGCTGGTCTTCATGCTGACTGTAGTCTGGATGAAAGCTGGAGGCATGTAGGTAAGTATAGCGGTCAGCAGGTTTCTGGTATAGGGTGGTGTTTATGTGACATTTTGGGTACACGCATGGCCCCACAGTATGCCAACATTTTTATGGCTGACAGAACAACGCTTCCTCAGCTCTCGTCCCCTAACGCCCCTATTCTACTTGCACTACATCTTCATCATCTGGACCCATGAGAAGGAGGTCCTTGAGGAATTCCACCAGGATTTCAACAATTTCCACCCCACCATCAATCTCAGCCTGGACCAGTCCACACAAGAGATCCACTTCCTAGACACTACAGTGCAAATAAGCGATGGTCACATAAACACCACTCTATACCGGAAACCTCCTGACCGCTATACTTACCTACATGCCTCCAGCTTCCATCCAGACAACATCACACAATCCATTGTATACAGCAAAGCCCTAAGTTACAACCGCATTTGCTCCGATCCCTCAGGCAGAGACAAACACCTACAGGATCTCTATCAAGAGTTCTTAAAACTACAATACCCATCTGGGCAAGTGAAGAAACAGATTGACAGAGTCAGAAGGGTACCCAGAAGTCACCTACTACAGGACAGGCCCAACAAAGATAGTAACAGAACACCACTAGCCATCACCTACAGCCCCCAACTAAAACCTCTCCAGCGCATCATCAAGGATCTACAACCTATCCTGAAGGACGATCCCTCACTCTCACAGATCTTGGGAGACAGGCCAGTCCTCGCTTACAGACAGCCCCCCAACCTGAAGCAAATACTCACCAGCAACTACACACCACACAACAAAAACACCAACCCAGGAAACAAACCTTACAACAAACCCCAGTGCCAAGTCTGTCCGCATATCTATTCAAGGGACACCATCATAGGACCTAACCATCAGGGGCTCATTCACCTGCACATCTACTAATGTGATATATGCCATCATGTGCCAGCAATGCCCCTCTGCCATGTACATTGGCCAAACCGGACAGTCTCTATGCAAAAGAATGAATGGACACAAATCTGACATCAAGAATTATAACATTAAAAAACCAGTAGGAGAACACTTCAATCTCCCTGGACACTCAATAAAAGACTTAAAAGTGGCAATTCTTCAACAAAAAAACCCTTCAAAAACAGACTCCAAAGAGAAACTGCAGAACTGGAATTAATTTGCAAACTGGACACCATCAAATTAGGCCTGAATAAAGACTGGAAGTGGCTGGGTCACCACAAAAACTGATTCCTCCTTGCTGATACTCACACCTTCTTGTCAACTGTTTGAAATGGGCCACCTTGACAACATTGAACTCATTAGCACTACAAAAATGATTTTCCTCCCTGCTTGTCAACTGTTGAGAATAGCCCACTTCCACCTTAATCGAATTGTCTCATTAGCACTGACCCCCAACTTGGTAAGGCAACTCACATCTTTTCATGTGCTATGTATTTATACCGGCCTCTGTATTTTCCACTCCATTCATCTGATGAAGTGGGTTTTAGCCCACAAACGCTTATGCCCAAATAAATTTGTTAGTCTCTAAAAGGTGCCACAAGGACTCCTCGTTGTTTTCACATATTCACGTGATTCCAGTGTCTGGGCCAATAAGTAAAAACACCAAATATCACGAGACTTACCATAAAGTGAGAGCTGTCTACACTGCTTGGTTTTTTAGATCTGAATACAGGCTCAGAAGTAAAACCTAGCTCAAGTGTTGTATTAGATCAAGTTTTCTTTTCCTCAACAAAGTTTAGCATCATAATATATAAAACTGCTGTCTGTTTCCCCCAATATCAACCTCTAGCAAGCAGATGCATTGTTCTGTCCAAAAGCCCAGTAAACTATTCATCCAGTAAACTGTACTTGTATAGAACTGACAAAAGGAATTTGTATGAGGGAAAGTTAGCCAGCTAATTCTATTACTCTCCCATTAGAAGGGATGCTAGCTAGAAAAGTCAAAATAAAGCCCCACTTAAATGTATCCTAAAGGACAGAGCACTGGACTGGGACTTAGGAGATCTGGATTCCAATCCCAGCTTTGCCACTGGTCTGATACATGACCTTGGTCAAGCCACTTCACACCTTCGCTATCAACTGAGGATAATGAAGATTACCTCCTTGGTAAAATGCTTTGAGATCTACTGATGAAAAGCACTATAAGAGCTAGGTAATATTATCTAGCACATCAGTACAAAAGGATTAATGCACCAACATATACATTTCATACTGAAATAAAACTGATGCTAAGCTATTCTTCCCCAGAGTAAGATAATCTTAATAGCTTTTTTTGGTTCAAATCATTATTTCTAATTAGATCAGCTGTTAGTTGATGGCTCCAGTTATGATGTGCAGCATAATAAACGGGGGACAAATCAACCAAAACACATGCTTTAGAGATCATTGTCTATTCTACATCTATTTACAGTAACAGAATTGCTTAAAAAAAAAAAACACAACCCATAAACAAAACACACACCCTAAGGTGAGCCTCTTTACACAGATAATGGAAAGAGAACATCACAACACCCACACATTGTTCTTGCTATCTCAGAGGAGATTAACGTGAGATTTTTTCCTACCACCTCAAGTACAAAAGAATACCTCTTCATTATAAAACAATTGATTTAAGATGTATATTGCTGATAGGGGACAGATATTTTCCTGTAGTCAGGGCAAGTTTTCTGTCAAGGAACCAAGTAATCAGTAGTATCAAGGAGCTGAAAAATTCCTGACAACCTTCATGGCATTTGAGTCATACAGGAGCCCAAATGCCCCTTCTGTGAGGTCACAACTACAACTGGATTCAATAAAGAATTAGGTAAATTCATGGAGGATAGGTCCATCAATGGCTACTAGCCAAGATGGTCAAGGGCGGAACCCCACGCTCTGGGTGTCCCTAGCCTCTGACTGCCAGAAGCTGGGAGTGGACGACAGGTGATGGATCACTAGATAATTGTTCTGTTCTGTTCATTCCCTCTGAAGCACATGGTCACTGTTAGAAGACAGGACACTGAACTAGATGGACCATTGGTCTGACCCAATATGGCCAGTCTCATGTTCTTCTTTACAATATGTACTAAAAAATGTTCCTCTCCTCTCCTCTATTGTTTGGGCCACTGCTGTAGCATGGGCTGTAAAATCTCCAGTCAGTGACAGAATTCCTTCCCTATTTATCATCCAATATGCCAAAGCTCTGATCTCTCGGGCCATAATACGTCAAGTAGTTGTGCATAATTAAACCTACACTGATAGACTAACTGTCACAGAGTATCACAGAGATAAAATTATTTTTAAACCTGCCTTATCTGTAATCCAGAGTTATCTACAGTACAGTTAACAGTGTTTTGAACCGAGAATAAATTTTCTTTTTAAAAGGCAGAACCACCAGACCTTCTCCCCCACCCCCTCCACAACCTAGGTCTTACAAGAAGAAAAACACTGTTGTGCTCTGATTCTCCTTTGTAATGCTGTATCAAAATGTATTCACTGACTCTGAAGGATAATGAGAGGGCCATGTACAGAATAAGAAAGCTATGCATTTCCCACCAGCGACAGAAGCTGTAATTTGTATTCCTCTCTTATGGTCCTTTTAATACATATTTTTTATTACATGGGCAAATAGAAGTTAGGTTTCCATATTTCCCCTGCTTCATTCACTCCATATTTAAAAGAAGAAACAAATGAATCTGGTGACTCACAGAGGTCAACACCACATGAACAGAATAATGGCAAGATTTATAGTTTGTCAGGTTACTTTATACTTTCATGTATTCTTATAACAATTACATTTTAGAAAGCCTGCAATATCTTAAGGGTAAATTTAAATATGTAGGCAAGCAGTTCTGGTGGAATAGCAACAAATGCATCATGCTGCATAGTAAAAGTCTGGAACCAAATAAGGCTTTTTGTTCTTCCCCATCCTGGATCAGTTTATAAAGGAAATATTTGTACCCTTGGCTGGACTGTCCTTTAGAGCCTACCATACATTAGTACTTGTAACCGCATTTGAAACAGTTTGCACCAAAATAGATGGAAGAACGTTTTGCAATTAGAAACTGACTGTGCTTGATCCCTGTTAGAGGGTAATAGCAAGCACAGTTTTGGCTAAAATGATTGTAACATATTAAAGTGTAAAGTGTTCCAGTGTAGACAGAATTCTTTACAAACAATCATGTTTGACTATGATCATAATCATGGATTTGCTTTTCTGTACATGGAGGAAATACTTAAACGAAAGTGCTAGAGTAGCCCACACTTTAAATGTGGACTTCATTTGATTCAGGTGAGCCTTTTCCAAGAAGAGTGCACCTCTGACCATCTTCTTAATTGTTTTCTTCCCAAGGAAATTGCAATATTAACTAGCATTTTGGAAAACACCCCTAGAAAGGCAGGTAGGCCAAAAGGTGAAGGAGCAAACCAGTAACACTGTCTGCTGCATGTGAAGCAGAGATCTATCCTCTGGAAGCTGCATATAATAATAT